AAAGGGGGAGGGATAAATTAGGAGTTTGGGATTAACATATACACACTCTATATATAAACAGATAACTGACTAGGACCTACTGTGTAACACAGTGAAATATATTCATTATCTTGTAATAACTGATAATGGAAATGAATCTGAAAAATAATATATATGTATATGTATAACTGAATCACTTTGCTGTACACCTGAAACTATTACAACATTGTAAATCAACTATACCTCAATTTAAGAAAACATGATAAAGTCCATATATGAAAAACCCATAGCTATCATCATACTCAATGGTGAAAGACTGAAGGTTTACCCCCTAATATCAGGAGCAAGATAAGAATGACTGCTGCTATTTAACATATTATTGGAAATTTTAGCCAAAACAGTTAAGTAAGAAACAAAAAGGTATCAGGTTGGAAAGGAAGAGGTAAACTTACCTCTGTTCACAGATAACATGATCCTATATGTAAAAGACCCTAAAGATTTCACAAAAAAAAGCTATTAGAGCTAAGAAATGAATTCAGCAATGTTGTAGGATATGAAATCAACACACATTAATCAGTTGCATTTCTATATACTAACAATGAACAATATGAAAAGAATACAGTTCCATTTGCAATAGCATCAAAAAGAATAGAATACTTATGAATAATTTAACAAAGAAGGCAAAGGACTTGTGCATTCAACATTACAAACATTAATGAAAGAAATTAAAGAAGACATAAATAAATAAAAAGACATCAATGTTCATGGATTGGAAGGCTTAATATTGTTAAATAGAAATCTTATTGAAAGTGATCTATAGATTCAATGCAATTCCTGTCAAAATCCGGTGGTAATTTTGTAGAAATAGAAAAGTCTATCCTAAAATTCATATGGAATCTTGAGGGACCCCAAATATCCAAAATAATCTTGAAAAAGAACAAATCTGAAGGACTCACTTTCTGATTTCAAAACTTATTACAAAGCTACAGTAACCAAAACAGTGTGGTATTACCATAAGGATAGACATATAGACCAATGGGATAGAGAGCCCAGAAATAAACCCTTACATATATGGTCAATTGATTTTCCACATGGGTGCCAACATCATTCAACAGGGGAAAGGACAATCTCTTCAACAAATGGTTTTGGGAAAACTGGATAAGATGTCCACATAACAAAAGAATGAAGTTGGACCCTTACTTTACACTATATACAAAAATTGGCTCAAAATGGATCAAAGACCTAAATATAAGACCCCAAACTATAAAACTCTTAGAAGAAAACATAGGGGAAATCTTCATGTTATTGGTTTTGGCAATCATTTCCTGCATATAACTTCAGTGGTACAGGGAACAAGAGAAAAAAATAGATAAACTGGATGCCATCAAAATCAAAAGTTTTGTGCATCAAAAGATAATATCATGATTATGAAATAATAATCCACAAAACAGGAGAAAATATTTTCAAAGCATATATCTGATAAGTGGTTAGTTTCCAGAATATATAAAGAATTCCTACAACTTAATGACAGCAAAAAATAAAACCCAGCCAACTCAATTTTAAAAGTGGGCAAAAGACTTGAATGGACATTTCTCCAAAGACAATATACAAATGGCCAATTATCACATGAAAAGATGCTCAAATCAAACATCATTAGAATGCAAATCAAAACCATAATGATAATAATAGCTATATAAATGTTCTGTGCAAGCTACTTTGACAAGAGTGTTATTTCAGGGAATGGTTGTCATTGCTCTTCTGTAAAGCTCTAGGGGTTTGTTCAAAAATGCATATAATAAGGATGCGTATGAGTGCTAAAAAAAAACCCACAATGAGATACCACTACATACCTGTTAGGAGAGCTATTGCTTTTTTTTTTAATGGAAAATAATAAATGTTGGTGAGGATGTGGAGAAATTGGAACCGTGTGCATTGTTTTGGGGATATGAAATGGTGCAGTTACAGTGGAAAATAGCTTGATGGTTCCTCAGAATTTTAAATATAGATTTACCATATAATCCAGCAATTCAACTTCTAGGTATATATATACCCCAAACAATTGCAAACAGAGGCTCAAACTGATACTTGTACAACAATGCTCATAGCAGCATTATTCACAATAGCCAAAAGGTGGTACATCCCAAATGTCCATCCATTTACCCAAACAGATAAACAAAATGTGGTATATACATACAATGAAATATGATTCAGGCTTTAAAAGGAATGAAAGTCTGATACATGCTACAACATGGATGTACCTTGAGAATATTATGCTAAGCAAAAGAAGCCAGGCACAAAAGGACAAATATTATATAATTTCATTTATAATGAGGTACTTGGAATAGGCAAATTCATAGAGACAGAAAGTAGTATATAAGTTTCCAGGTGCTGGGGGGAGTGAGGGAATGGGGAATAACTGCACAACCAATTGTTTAGGGGAAACCTGAATATGTACACATAGACACAGAGTCAAATGGAACTGGACTTAAATTAAATATTGGCTCTGCCATTTACTACATGTTGGACATGAGTCAAGATAATTAACCTTTTAAAATCTCAGTTTACTCATCTGATAAAACAAAAACAAAAACAGGATTATAGTCACACAAAACTCACAAAGCAATTGTGAGGGTTAAATGAGATAATGCAAACAAAACACTTAATAAAGAGCTTAGCACCTAATAAGCGCTCAATGAATGTTAGCTATTATTAACCTTCAAACAGTTCCTGGCACATAACTCAAATTTTTGTTAAAGGAATACATGCAACTGCACACTTGCTATTATGATGAAACTGATTGAAGCCACAGTTAGGGGAGAGGGAGGAGGGCTTTGGAGGGGATGAGGTCCAGAAGAACTTATCGGAAAGGCAACAACATGACAGAACAAAACCCAGAAAAATATTCTGTATGTATTTGACACTATGATAGTATGTATATGACAAACTTTCACCTGTACATAAGTGCTACTTCTTGGATCAGCTCTCCCTTACTAAGAGAAACCATAATTCATACCCTTTCCTTTTTTTCACTTTTCATTCCCTTCTTTGTTAAGAAGGGGCTGGAAATCTGGCAATAAAGGAAAACATTACATATGTGTATGCCTGTATTTAATTTTTGCCTCCTCCCATGAAAGTTCTTACCATATATTAAGCATTTAATAAATATTTCAAATCAAGTCTGGTATATTAGATTCTCAATTAACATTTGTTGAATGATTGAATTTATAAATGAGAAGTTACTTACTATGCTCCCCCCCTCCACTCATAAGGATGCTCCCTGTGACACTTCTGTCAGAGCACTATTTTTATTTATCTAATATTTATATCTGATCCTTTTCCCCCAAAAAAGTTTTGAAGCAGTTTTCAGTGTTACCTGCCACACAAAATAAAAATAATTGGGAATTGGAAGAAAATGTGGTTATGTAAGATAAGAGGAGGATCAACATATACCAATAAGGTACACAGTTGTTAGAGGTGGGTTGTAAAATTGGTTCTGAGCTTCCTAGCAGCCATCGCAAGGAAAGTTAATTACATAATTCACATTGTGCACATGATTTAAAACACAATTACTCAGCTATTTCAGTTACTGAAAACAGAATTTTTCTTTTGAGTTATTATTAAAGAATTATGTTGCATATAATAAATGCCGTCCAGAATATTCTACTGTAAATGAAAAATGAGTTTCATAGATCTATTTTGTATTACAATCCTCGATGCAGCCCCACGACATAGCGCCAAAGTAAAGATCAGTGGATGAAATCTCAAAAGGACCAAAAGTGATTTTGTCTCGGTCTGAAACTCTGGTAATTGTTTCACTGAATGAAAAAAAAATCACTTATCCAGAAGAAATCATTGTACATTAGTCGCCTAAAAATATTTACTCCGTAGCATTACATTTTGATAAGTGTAAGGCAATAGAGACGTAAGGGCCATAATCTCTAACAGGCATCCCGTAAGGTCTCTAATATTATCCCTGTGCCTTTAAGGAGGGCACCTTTGACATCATTTTATGAAAGTTCTGGAATCTTTCGAGGTCACATGACCAAACTGGAGGCCATTTTAAGACCTCAAAGAGCTAGACCATGGAGCGCCCTAAGAAGCGACGCCCCAGTTCCTCAGGAAATAATTTAACACTAACAACCTCAACATCACAAGTAACGAGACTTCGAGAGTCCCAAACTCCTGTTGGCCATGGGGATGAAACCGCTGGCGATCTCAGTGCCCAAACTACCCGCAACCAAGGCACCCAAACTCCTGACGATAATGGCGCCCAAGCTGCTGCCGACATCTGCACCCAGGCTGCTGCCGACATCGGCACCCAGACTGCTGCCGACATCGGCACCCAGGCTGCTGCCGACATCGGCACCCAGGCTGCTGCCAAAACCCCTCTGGAAAACTTACTAGAAGGAAAAGGTCAGTGGTCTTAAGATTTTTTTTTTCCCGTAAGTTAAGGATCTTTGGGAGAAGCGAACTGCCAAAAGTTTATTTAAACTGTGACCCCCATTTAGGAGAAATTAGCTGAGTAACTTGTATCTCCGACCAAAAGATGTAAAATAGTGACTGTTGAGAAGGGAGAGACTAATTCTATTAGGGTAGTTTGGGCGCGGATTCTAGTTACTTAATGGGTTTGTGCGGGGGTGTAGTTGTCACCAGACGAGGTCGCCTCACCAGAAAACACGCCGGTCCGACCTAACGGATTCGCGGAGCAACCGCTTGTGCCGCCCCTTTTACAGATACCACTGTGTACTGCTAAAACTCCCGTGGCCGCCCCGAAGGTCGGCCCGTGAAAAGGGTATTTGTTCTGAAGCCTTGCTCCGCGAGGTCCCTGAGCGGCCGCGTCCCCGCCGCTATCAGTACTCTTCGAGCCTCCCCACTTAGGCACGCGGCGAGCTGGTCGCCGCCTCGAGGCCACCTGCCTGTCCGCTCCGCCCGGCGGTGGTGGAGGCGTGGCGAGGCGGGGAGGAGTGGCGCGCGAGGCTCCTACCTGTCGCCGCGAAGTCC